AATGTCCATTAGAGAGTGGGCTCTTTTAAGGGCCGAGTTTCCTTACTTTGTGACTGTGCTGTATTCTTAGGGCCCAGCACAATCCCTGGTTCATGTTTGGGGAATGTTTTCAAACAAATGAATGATGGGATTTGAAGGGGCTGAGCTTTGCTATCCGGTAGTCAACAAATAACAGTGCGACTGACTATAGATAATAGGGCTGAGGTTGGACATGTTGTGTGCACGTGAGGAAACCACCTGTTAGAATTTAGGGAGTATAATCAATATTTACGAAGTTCAGAAAACCCTCTCTAGAGCACAGGAATGACTCACGGTTCATGCAGAGGTAAGAGCAGGGGTTGTTCCGTCCCAGGGACATATTCAGTACCGTACGTGCCCATGAAGGGTTGTGTGCGTGTAGTGTAGTGAAGACATTGTCAAGGACATGGTGGTGATTTCCTTTCCCAAGGATATGCTGTCAGTTGAAATTTATTCAACTGACTTCTTTTTATTTTTATTTTTATTTTTATTTTTTGGCCTGGGAAGACCAACCAATATTTTGAGGAAGACCAACCAACATTTTAAAAATGTCCTTTCAACATGGATGTATATTGTTTTTTCTTATTCATGCAAAGTTGTTGGAAATTCTGTTAGTTACACACAAGATAGTTTGTGCCTATGTCACTTGGCGAAGCCCTGTAGGTGCATCCCTTGAGTTTTTTGTTTGCCAAAGTAACCAAGGCTACATTGTAGTCATCTACCCTTGGTCACTGGCCATCTCCTTAGCGAACTGGAAGAGTCACACTTGCAATGGCTGGGACTGTGAGAAAGGAGAGGGTGGATTTGTGTTGGAAGAAATGGGAATGGTGACAGGTACCCACTTCACTCGGTCCACACTTCTCAGACTTGCTGCTCATAGGGGTCGTAGGACCCCTCTACATCCTCAAAAGCTACTGATGACCCCAGAGAACTTATGTTTACCTGGGCTGCACGTCTAACATTAGTCACACTAGATCATGAATTGAGAAAACTTCAAAATATAAGAAGACTCATCCCATTAGTCATCAGAATGATGAAATCTTCCTGCCCCGTGGGCTCTAGAAAATGGTGCTGTAAGTCCCAGGAGAATGAGAGTGAAAAAGGCAAATAATATTTCAGTATTGATAGGAAAAGAGTTTCGACTGCATGAACTCACTGGAAGGCTCTCAGGAACCCTCCCCCCCCCCCCACCGCCAGGTCCCCGAAACTACACTTAGTCCACTTGGGAGTCAAAAACCCGATCCACACCCACCCCTGGAAGAAAGTGTCAGCCGAGATGGAACAGTACCATGTGGCTGGCGTGCTTGAAGCATCTCATTCGGATGCTGTCTGCCCTGGTGGCAGCTGGTGGCTCACCAAATCGTGACAAAGCACGTACCGTAGCGTGCCGGGGGTGGAGGACACGGTACTTACACGAATGACCTTTCACCTCTGAAATATTTGGAGCTGGTGACCTCCTTTTCCTGACATGATCCTTGACACAACGGCCAGTGTTGCAGTGAATTCTTTGTTGCAGCCACCTCTGGAAATCATTAGCTTCTGGGCGTGGGTGAAGAGTTCTGAAGCGTCGTTCTCCCCGGCTTAGCCGTCAAGTTTCAGTCGCACGATTCTTTTGAATTGAGAGCTACACGTTTTGGCAGGCGTTGTCTGCTGTGTCAGAAACAGTGTAGAATAGGTACCCATTCTCTTGAACAAGTGTGGAACATTACGTTATTTCTATATGAAATTTGTAAAATACATACATCATTTGAATGAATGAATGAATGAATGAATCATGAAACATAACATCAACTCCATGGTCTTTAAAGGACAGGTTTTCTTCTTGGGGCACAATGGTGTTTTCTCATCTTCTTCTGTTGCAAGAAGAGCGTGGAGTGGAGCTACTCCTCATGGAGATGTGTTGGTCCATTGGAGGTGGGTTGGAGGACCAGGAGCAGAGCTGGTTACAGTGAAAATAAAAATGTGCTGTGCCTTATTCAAAATGCATGGAGAAAAAGTACATTAAAAGTACATTACTGCAGTACAAAACTTTCTCCTTTCTTCCATTTTTCTCATCATGGTCCGTTTTATTTACTATTGGCTGTGATTTTAAGGAATGAAGCATCAAAGTTTTAATTTATTAGCACGGTGTTCTCTACCCATCTTTATGTTGCCGGTTTTAAATGTAAGCATAAGGGGCTGGTGCTGTGGCATAGCAGATAAAGCCACGGCCTGCAGTGCCGGCATCCTATATGGGTGCTGGTTCGAGTCCCGGCTGCTCCACTTCCAATCCCGCTCTCTGCTATGGCCTGGGAAAGCAGTAGAAGATGACTCAAGTCCTTGGGCTCTTGCACCCACATGGAAGACCTGGAAGAAGCTCCTGGCTCCTGACTTTGGATCAGTGCAGCTCTGGCCATTGTGGCCATCTGGGGAGTAAACCAGTGAACGGAAGACCTCTCTCTCTCTCTCTCTCTCTCTCTCTCTCTCTCTCTCTGCCTCTGCCTTTCAAATAAATAATAAGTACATCTTTTAAAAAATGTAAACATAGGAGCACATGTGAAGAATCCCTGAGAGGACAGAATCTGGTTCCTGTAGCTCATACATGCGTAGGTGGTTGTGTTTTACCAGAACAGTGGGAATGCTGCATAAGAACTCATTTTTTAATTTCAGCTTTCGAGGGGCGCACATTCTACCACACTCTGGGAGCAGAGGGCTCCCACAGCAAGCCTACCCACTGCTCACCTGGAGTCTTGCTGAGCTTCTGCACGTGGACCTTTGCCAGAATCACGGAGCTCACGCGACAGCACCAGCGCGACATGTGCATGGGTGGCCAGGGGCAGCGACATACACGCCTCATGAACCCACTGGACTTCCCCACAAAGCATGTGTTCAAGGCTACAGTTATTAAGGGTTTCAAGGTGGTGCTATCTGAGAATCAACCAAGCATGGAGCCCTTCTGAGCACAGGGCTGCGCAGGACCCTGGCCTGGGCGGGTGCTGCCATGCCGGGAATGGAGGCGCATCCTGCAGACGGAGCCCCTCCCGGGTCCTGGTATGTATGGATCTCTCCCAAAGGCGGGGTTGGCCAGGATCCCTCGTGGGAATGCTGTTCCTTTGGGGCCAGGGACATCAGAGATGGCAGGGGGAGCTCAGGGCCACCTGCTGGGTGCAGGAAGAAGATGACCAAGTTTTTTTTTTCTATTGACTTATCTTTTCTCTCTTTCTCTCAGAGAATGAGAGAGAGAGAGAGAGAGAGAGAGAATCATCTGCTCACTCTCTTCCCAAATGCCTGCAAAGCCAGCAGGCTGAGCCTGAGAGATGGGAACTCAATCCATATCTCCCATGTGGGTGGCAGGAACCCAATTAGTTGAGCCATCACTGTTGACTCCCAGAGTCTGCAATCAATACCCAATCTCCCATGTGGGCTCTGGTTTGTGACCTGGCTGCTCCACTTCTGATCCAGCTCCCTGCTAATGTGCCTGAAAAAGCAGCAGAACATTGCCCAAGTCTTTGGGCCTTTACTCCCATGTGGGAGGCATGGAAGAAGCTCCTGGCTCCTGGCTTCGTCTGCCCCAGCCCCGGCCATTGTGGCCATCTGGAGAGTGAACCAGCAGATGGAAAATCTCTTGGCCTGGCTCTTTCTCTGTAACTCTGCCATTCAAATAAAATCTTTTTTTTTCTCTTAAATCTGTGTAGTGTGCATGTGCTTTCAGAATGCCCTCAACACATCAGCTGTACACTCTATGTGTACAATTTATAAATATATAAACTAAGTTGGTGCCTGGACCAAAATGGAGGGCTTGCAAACACTAACCAGGGTTGGGGGAGCACCTCCCTGGAAGACAGGATAAGGAATGGGTCAGGAAGGGGGCTCTCAGGCCTGCAGAGAGAAACACCAGCTTTGTTTCACTTCATGACGGCTTCTGAGGCCAGCCCATGTCCCACTGGGCCATCCCCTCATGGGGGTGATCTGGCTCATGTGAGCTCTGGCCAGATGGAGGGGGCCTGAGTTGCTGGGAGCCCCTTGACCTGAGAGGGAGAGAATTTAAATCCTGTCCCTAGAGGAGGGCCAAGGCTACAGCCAAGGGGGTCCCTGGCTCCCACGAGATTTCTATAAACAGGAGGGAGACTACAAAGGAGAGGCAAATCACGAGGAGTCAACACTAATCGGAATTTGTTGAGTTTTGCACCCTTGAGCTCTTCTTACAGCCCTAAAGGGTCAGTCTTACTTCCCCATTTCACAGTCAGGGACGTGGAGACGCAGAAGGTGAGCTTGCTGAGGGTCACAGAGCCAATGTGCCCGGATGTGTGTGCTCACCTACAGGTTGCAGCAGGTTGGACCCACGCAGACACAGAGCAGAATCACCCCCACGAGGCGGTAAATCCCTGCTGACATCCCCGGTCCACAGACCAGGCACCTGAGGCTCGGAGGCTCCTCCTGGGCCGAGGTGGGAATGCTGGGAGTGCGTGGCAAAGTCTCGAGGCTGTTATGGTCCAGGGGACCACCAGCATGCAATGCAGAGTGGGCTCCACTGCCTAGCAGGCGTGGGGAACTTCCGGCCCGCAAGCCATATAAGGCCCACAAAATCATCTGGAGCTGCCTTGTCAAGCTAACTGCAGAGGAGACTCAAAAAAAAAAAAAAATTAAAAACTCAATAAATCTATAGCAGGCTCATTTGTAAGTGGATAGTTTTGTAGGGCCCACGAATGATGTTAGAAATAGCCATATGGCCCTTTGCAGAACAAATGGTGGCAGGAACCTAAGGGGTCAAACAGGAGTGGCTGGATATAGACACGAGTAGACATAGCCACCAGCCTGGAAAATACAGATTCAGTTTACCTTGTCTTTCACAGCAAGCTCAAGGGCATGAAGAATCACTTTGCAATGATCCCTTTGGTATTTACAATATCCCTAAAAGGTAAGCAAGCAGCCCCATCTCATATTTATATTTACGTGGAGCTAAGACGCTGGGACAAGGCCTTCCTGCTTACGATCCAGGGAGACGCTGTCCAAACGAGGGGCGCTGCGCTGGCGCCGACACACGCTGCAAATAAGGCGCTTCGCACTGTCTTCCCACTTCTTCGTTTACCTCATTTGGTGAAACTGCACAAGCTCAGGGCTTGGAACTTCCGTCTTCTTATCACGGACATCGTGTACTGTTCCAGCCCTCAGCCAAGTCGTCCAGGAAGGAAGCGTTTTGTTCCTTTTAGACAGAGGGCCTGGCCGGCCATATGGCACGCTGTTGACAAGCTCTGTAAGTAACGTGATCGTTACCACGTTAAAAAAGATCTATTAGAACTGGGGAGTGCACTGTGTGTTGGAGCTTAATACTATCTCAGGTCAACAAATAGGAAAAGAAAAACTGCGGGATGAGGGTGGGGAGAGGGAGAGGGGACAAGGCAGGGGCGGGGAGGGGGGAGAGAGAGAGAGAGAGAGAGAGAGAGAGAGAGAGAGAGAGAGAAGGAAGCAGTATGAGCCTCTTTGCCTATCCATTGTGAGTTTTCCTAAATCCAATTATTACTTAAATCAGTGCATCAAGGCTCAACCTATTCGATACCTATTGGGAACCTCAACTGTTAATTCCTTGCTGCTGTCAACTTATTATTCAAATTGGTATTACCTGAGTAATTGATATTACTCGAAATATGTTTTCCTTCTTCTCTCTCTCTTCTCTTTTAAGGTTGATAACTTGGTTAAATATTTTGACATCTACATAAAACATGAAGACATAAAAAAGATGTCTTCGTAAACGCATCCTTTCAGCCGGGGGAAACCAGCTAACTGCAGAGCGAGTTCCCTCTCTCGGGTTTCTCTTTCGTGAGGGTTCTCAGAATCTGTGCTTTGAACGAGCTTTCTCTTTGGATTTCCACTGCAGCGCACCCTGAGAAGTTCTCAGTGATGTGGGTACAAAGTGTACCCAGTGACACAGAACTAGGACTTGAAAGATGCCCCAAGCTCTTCTATTTAAAAGTGGAGTGGAGATTTTTGCATTTATGGTCAACAAGGCCGGGTTAATGAAGTGTAAGAGGCCAGAGGAATTAGATTGAGAACTGAATGGGTAACAAGTCACACCCCTTCCTTTTTCTTGCTAAAAATGAAAAGGTATGCCTCCAGTCCTGGACGATTAGCAGCCAGGGGGAGAAGAAGGCTCACGGGTTATTTGGAAGGGCATTTGTGCCTACGTGTCGTTAGCATGTACATTCGCACACAGATGGAGCCCACATAGGAGGGATGAGAAGATGCATGATGTTGCAGATAGCAGTTGGACACACGTGTCTGTGCCACTGAGAAACTCTCTTGTTTGCGCCTCATCAGCCTGTTGGGCTGGGACAGAATCAAGGCTTGCTTGGAACTGGACAACCTGGCTCTCCCTGGCCTTGCTCCATTGTCTTTGTATTTTCTTGGTCTTTCTAGAGCAGTCTCTGAGAGTGGGCTGAAGTGGCGCATGTAACAACAGCTGGCGCTCCCTAGGTTTCCTAGCTGTCCTCGTCTTGGGTCTCTACGTGCGTCTTTGCCTTTGATCTTCACTGTGACTCACGAGGTAGGTGCGGTTCCATGAGCATCTCTGAGAAAACTGTCAGAAAACAGAAACGTTCAGCAGCTTGTAGAAGATGCACAGTTTGTAAAGGTGGAGGTGGGACTTCAGCCCAGGCAGTCTGCTGTCAAGGCTTGAACTCAGAACCAAGTATTATGCCAGTGGGAGTGTAATGGCCTGCAGGGGGCGCAAGAGGAGACTTCTGGGTCAAAAATGATCTGGTTCCTGACTTGGGCGCTGGATTATCTGTATCTTGTAGAAAATTCATGGCACTGAACACTTTACAAATGTACATGCCAGGGAGCCTCAAAAGACTCCTGGCAAATGGAGTTAAAAGTAAGTTTATTTTGGTGCCAATTGTGAAATCCATGCATTCACAAAATGCTTAAAAGGTTCATGGAAAATGTGTGTTGGGGAAAAAAAATAACACTTGGATCTCTAAAGTACTGGGCATCCAACTAAACTTACCTTTTAATTTTATTTTCCATGAATTTTCACAAGTACCACCCTACATGTGTTACACTTGAATTATATCAAAATAGAAAAATGTATGTGAAAAATAACTTAAAATAAAGAGGTAAGGCGTATGTATATAACCAATAGTAATTTTTTAAAAGTTATTTATTTATTTGAAAGGGAGAGTAACAGAAAAGCAGAGGCAGAGAGAGAGAGAGAGAGAGAGAGGTCTTTCATATATTGGTTCACATCCCAAATAGCTGCAATGGCTGGAGCTAAGCTGATCTGAAGCCAGGAGTCTGGAGCTTCTTCCAGGTCTCCCATGTGGGTGCAGGGGCCCAAGGACTTGGGCCATCTTCCACTGCTTTCCCAGGCATATTAAAAGGGAGCTGGATTGGAAGTGGAACAGCCAAGACTTGAACCGTCACCAATTAGGATGCTGGCGCTGTGGGCAGTGGCCTTATCTGCTATGCCACAGTGCTGGCCCCACCAATCGTAATTTGAATATCAGTTGAGAATTCATTAATACTCTTCTTGTAGAAAACATCTGTAACTCATGGAACTTACTTGATTTCTATTCATGTCTCAGTTTACGTGTCTGTAAAATGGGAATAGTGGATTCCTAGTTCACAAAGTCAGAATAGTTGACCTAACTTACCTAAGGCTTTAGAAGCATAATGAAGACAATTTGTTCTTCAATGCTATGGAAGCCTTGATAATTTGGGGTCCCAGCTGGAGCAGGGATGGGAACACTGAGATCCCCACATCGTACCCGTGACCCTTCTTCTAAAATAAAGTGTAGTTATTGAAGAGCCATTTTGTTGGCACAATCAAGGTATGTTCCTTCTCCCGGAAAAGGTGCTTTCTTTGAGAACAAATTATATGACCAGACGGAAGGTGAGCCAAGTGACGCCAATAAATCCACCGGCAGGCATTCCCTGGGTCAGAAGGTGCAGACGTTCGAAGGAGTGCCTTTGCCTGTCTACAGTGTAACCCTGGTGCTGTTTAAGGAAAGCGCTGGGGTGAAAATGAATGTGTCTCTCCTGTCCGCTAGAGTGACAAAGGCTGCAATTCAAGGGAGCAAACCGAGGGAGCTGTTGCATCTGCTCCCTGTGTCTACCCATTGGCGTGGTGCATCGTGACCCTGTGACATCTGAAATCTCTTTTCCTTTGGCGTCTTCCATCTACAGATGCCTGCTGCCCAGGGGCAGCCCTGCACCCTCATGGCGCCCTCTGTGCCTGAGATCCTGCGCTTTTCACAAAGGCCCATTCTCATCGTGCCAACGGTCAGCTCCGCTTGCCGAAATTCTGTCAAAGCAGACAAATTAAACATGTCAGGTGACATGGGGGAAGAGACGGCTTTCTGATTTATTATGGAATTTTTTACGGATAAGAGTTATTTCTCTTGGCCTGATACTTGCTCTTAGAGGCTTGATCACATTTCAAGGCATGGCAGCCATTGACTGAAGTATTCTGGGTTCGCAGATATTTGTGTGCACGGGTCTGTCTCCGGGTGTCCATGTGAATAGGTTGGAAAACTGAAGCGAGATTGCTGATTGCAGGGTAAGAAACGAGGGGAAAGTAGCTGGCGCCCTGGCTCAATAGGCTAATCCTCCGCCTTGCGGTGCCGGCACACCGGGTTCTAGTCCCGGTCGGGGCGACAGATTCTGTCCCGGTTGTTCCTCTTCCAGGCCAGCTCTCTGCTGTGGCCCGGGAGTGCAGTGGAGGATGGCCCAAGTGCTTGGGCCCTGCACCCACATGGGAGACCAGGAGAAGCACCTGGCTCCTGCCATCGGATCAGTGCGGTGCGCCGCCTGCAGCGGCCAGTGGGGTGAACCAACGGCAAAAGGAAGACCTTTCTCTCTGTCTCTCTCTCTCTCTCTCACTGTCCACTCTGCCTGTCAAAAAAAAAAAAAAAAAAAAAAGGAGGGGAAAGTTAAGTCTCCTTGTAACCCTCGTGTTCAGTGATTTTAAGCTTCTCTGTGGCTATCTCAGTTGACAAATGGACTTATGCTTACATGCAATTAAAAAAAAAAAAGCCTTATTGGGGGCAAGGTTGAAAACATTGTACTGTTACTTGGAGAAGGATATAGAAAGCTTTCTTTTCTCCTGAGGTTGTCTTTGCAAATAGAATGCAGTCGTGTCATTTTCCTACCTGCACGTATATAAAGACCGAGTGGAATGGCAAGGTCAGACTTGGGGTGCCTGTCCTCCCTCTGGCTTTTCAGATGTCACAACCAGATGCGGTATAATTTAAGCAGCAGAGCTGGGGGACAGGTCTGCAGAGTTGCCTGTCTGTTGGACCTGGAGGAGCTTAGCCCAAGCAAGGTAATTTACGACCCGAGGCGAGCTCAGCTCCCTGCAGGCAGCGCAACCTAAGCTCTCCAAAGAACTCCTGGTTTATTGGAGAGAACGGTAAGGCTGGAGACAGGATGAGCTACGGCTTCGCGGTGGCTTTCCCCGCTCTCCTTTTCCTTGTTGTGATATTTATTATTTGTGGGTAGGGATGAGAGGGTTCACTTTGCCAACTTTTGAACCCTGTCTAGATTCATGGCTCTGAGTTTTGAACCGTCCCTGAACCTCGCTGGGTTCGAGTTCCTGTTCACTTCGCCTTCTACAGCTTCCGGTGTCGAACCGCGAAAGACTCTAAAGGTTTATTTCAAAAGGTGGAAACAATTCCTTGAACGTGAAATAGTATTTTTCTTCGCAGCAACATATTTTAATGAGTCAAGTGTAAATGAATTGAAACCATATGGCCCAAATTGCCCCAGTGGAGTCACCAAGTTCATGGCTGAATTATTATTAGGTTTTATTGGATTCAAAGTGGATAAGACATAATGAGACAAAGGGATGGACCAGCACACATTTGTTCTTTGTGGTTCTATGGCTGTGTTCCCTCTTTAATATGAAGTGGGCTGTGGTTGAGATCTGAAAAGAAGAGGAAAGAGTAGGACACCATTATAAGCAGGGTTTTGCCAAGTAAGAACCCTGTGTTGGGAAACAGGGCATTTTGGCGAAAGATGCAAATTCTTGGTTTAATGGCTGTAACATTAGGAGGTAGAAATAACTTTGAAGTGTGGGCTGCATCGCTGTCCCCTGTGCCGGAGCCCGGCTCAGCACCTCCACACCTGCAGTGCACCCGGCACTGCTTCCCCAGGCTGCGAGTCCTGTCCTTAGAACCCTGAAAGTTGCTTGGTCTAGTTCTTTCTTTCCTTTTTTTTTTTTATTTGACAGGTAGTTATAGACAGTGAGTGAGTTCACTCCCCAAATGGCCGCCATGGCCAGCACTGCGCTGATCCAAAGCCAGGAGCCAGATGCTTCTTCCTGGTCTCCCATGCAGGTGCAGGAGCCCAAGCACTTGGGCCATCCTCTACTGCCCTCCCCGGGCCACAGCAAAGAGCTGGACTGGAAGAGGAGCAACCGGGACTAGAACCCAGCACGCACATGGGATGCCGGCACTGCAGGCGGAGGATTAACCAAGTGAGCCATGGTGCCAGCCCTGGGTCTTGTGCTTTCTACAATCAGATGCCTTAAACATGTCTTTTGAAAAATGCTTGTTTATTTGAAAAGCAGAGCGAGAGAAAGAGAGAGAGAGAGAGAGAGAGAGAGAGAGGACATGCCCATTAGGTAGTTCATTCCTCAAATGCCCACAATAGCTAGGATTGGACCAGGCTGAAGCTGGTCTCCCACATGGTGGCAGGGACCCAATCATTAAGCCATTATCTGCTGCCTCCCAGCAGGCAGAAGACGCTGGATTGGAAGCAGAGCAGCCAGGACTTGAACCAGCACTGTTAAAGGGGCTGTGGGTATCTCAAGCAGCAGCTGAACGTGACGCGGCACACGTCCAGACAGCTCTACAAAGGCAGCCTGGGTCCTAAGCAGTCTGCTCTCCCGTGCCCCCTGTGAGAAAGGTGTCCAAGGCTGCTGCTGCCTTGGGCAGCGTCTCTGGGGGCCCAGCAGAATTCTGGGAGTAGGGTGCATAGTGTGTGGCAGAGGACAAAGAAACACCTGCCTACCCAAGTGGAGGTCCCCAAAGCTGGTCAAGAAATGTCCGCCAGATGCCCATGGGGATGCCATTGGGCATGGTGTGGTTGGGAGAGCGTGGCCGCAGGGCCACAAGCCACACAGAGCCACAGAAGGAATGTTTCCTTTTGCTGTGAACGTTCTCCAAAACTCGCTTGGGAAAGCAACTTGCTATGTTGTGTGGGTCTGCCCCATTTCCCTACCTAAGAAACATGGGCTCAGAATGGCCACCCTGGGGCGAGCATTGTGGCTGAGAGGGTTAAGCTGCTGCTTGTAACACTAGCATTCTATTTTGGGGTGCCAGTTTGAGTCCTGGCTCCTCTGCTTCAGATCCAGTTCCCTGCTAATGTGCCTGGGAAGACAGCAGATGGTGACCCAAGTGCTTGGGCCCTGGCCGCTCACGTGGGAGACACCCATGGAGTTCCTGGCTCTTAGCTTAAGCCTGACCCAGAAGTGGCTGTTGCAGCCAGGTGAGGAGTGAACCAGTAGATGGAAGATCTCTCTCTCTCTCTCTGTCTGCTTCTCTCCCTCCCACTGTTCCTTTCAAACAAACCAATAAATCCTTCTGTTTTTGTTGCCAGCCTCCTGGTGAATGTTGGGTGAATGTGACAGACAGCTTGGGGAACCCCTGGTTTCCAGTGGAGCACACAGGCAAGGCACTGAGCACCGTGAAGTCAGAGCCCGACATTGGAGGGGCAAGCAGGTTTCTTCGCAGGCAGTGAGCAAGCCCTGCACACTCTGCTTCGCACTCATTTGCAGGGAGGAAGACACAGTGGCTGCAGCTCGCTCTGTGATGACAGAACGTGCCAAGAAAATCTGCGAGTCCGGGCCAGCCCTGGGGTCCCGTTGCCAGCTGGGATTATCCAAAGTGGGGTCCTTAGAGACAGCGGGCGCTCTCCTCCACCACAGACTGCGGAAACCTCCCACTCGACTGTTTTAAAAGCTGCAGAGAATTAAACATAGAAGCCTTGCGGAGGGAGGAGAGTCCTCTGGGGGCGCTTTGTTTGCTTTGGTTTCTATCTCCCTCCCTGGAATGCAGTAAAATCCTGGAGTAGTCAACTTGCAAAGAGGGGGCCAGGCCGAGAGAGGAAAGCCCCCCCGTGCCAAAGTGAAGGGTGAGGAGCCCCTGCTGGGTTCTGGTTTTATAATCATTTCTGTTTATAGTCGGGAGGCAATAGCCCCCTTCTTGAATTCAGCACACGGAGTCTTTTCTTCGCTGTTCCCCTGCTTATCCAAACATTATTGGGCCCCGTCCTTCAATGGGTTATTATTGAACAGCTAATGTCAAATACAGACCAAGGCTGCTGGTTGAATGGGACGCCTGTGTCTCTCAGGTGCTGAACGCACCATTCACGCCGAGGGCGCGGCGCTGGGGAATGGTGGCCACCAGAGGCAGCAGACTTGGCTGGGTGGGTGGGAGCAGCGTGACCTCTGGGTGGGTGGGGGCAGCGTGACTTCCCTGTGCTTTGAAGAGGGCTGTGGAGCAAGGAAGGGGCTGAAACATTGCTCTGTGGACCACTGGCCCTTGGAGCACTGATTTTAGCCACGGGCCTGAGAAAATGACAGAGGGATGTGTCTTGGGTCCAGGGCCAGCCCTCAACACTCGCTCACTCACTCTTACACACACGACGGCCCTAAGGTCTCACTTAAATGATGGAAAACACCAGAAAAATGACAAGAAAGGAAGAATTCCAAGTGCTATCCTGGAACTCTGAAATAATTTTTAAGAAGACTTATTTATGGATCTGAAAGGCAGAATCACAGGAGTGGGGGAGAGAGAAAAAGAGAGAGAGAGATTCTCTCTCTGATGCCAATGTCTACAACGGCCGTGGCTGGACCAGGCCGAAACCAGGAGCCAGGAGCTTCATCTGGGTGTCCCATGCAGGTAGCAGTGGCCCAAGCACTTGGGCCATCTCCCACAGCTTTCCAGGGTGCTTTTATAGGGAGTTGGATAGGAAGAGGAGCAGCCAGGACTGGCACTCATATAGGATGTTAGCATTGCAGGCAGCGGCATAACCCACTGCACCACAGTGCTGGCCCCTGAACTCACTTTGTCTTAGCGACCCCAGTAGGCTGTCTGAAGTTGGGGCTTGAATCCTTTTCTGAGAGACTCCCCTGTGAGGAGGAGGCACAATGAGGGGTGGTGAGCAGCCACAGAGATTCGGAGAAGCTGGTTGAAGAAAGAGGATTCCGGAGCTGTCCCAGCCCTGGCCCCTGCAGCTCACCTCTGTCCGCCTCCCCCCTCGGCACAGCCAGGGCCACTGCATAGCAGGAGGCTTTGCACACCGTCTGCCAGTGCCCAGCGGATGACTTCAAAACATGTGGGAAATAGGATCGAAAGAGAAGTCTATATTGATGCAGGATTTTTTAAAAAATTTGTTTACTTATTTAAGAGAGTGAGAGGAAGGGTCTATTTATTTGGCTCCCCAAATGCCCCAAATGGCCCAAGGGGTCAGGGGAAGGGGAAGCCAGGAGTCGGGAACTCAATCCATGTCTCCCACATGGGTGGCAGGAACCCAGTGGCTTGAAACCATTATTACTGCTTCCCAGGGGCTGCATTAGCAGGAAGCTGGCATCAGGAGCTGGAGTTGGCCATCAAACCCAGGCGTTCAGAGTAGGATGTGGGCCTCTAACTGGGTGTCTTAACCCTTAGGCCAAACGCTGCAAACGTTTTTGAAACATGTACATAATTTTTACGTAATACACATTTCCACGAACTTTGTGAAGACCCCGCATGTGCATGGATTTCAAAAATGTTTGCACCCAAATCCTAATTTTTGAACTAAACTTTTCCACATACATTTTGAAGTTCCACCATACCTTAGTGACTCCCTTGCTACGAAGCAAAACGCCTCTCATTCTGCTGTGAAAGAGGATGTAGGAGGACTATCCCTCCTCTGTGTACCCCACAAGGCGGCTATGGAGAGGAGAAGGTAATGTTTACAATGGGCGCTGTCACACCCAGGTGACAGCCACAGCAATATCAAGTTTACGATTATGGTTCTGCTCGTGTCCCTGCGCGTTCATTGCCCCACTCACATCGCAGGAGTAAATACAGGCTCCCTGGGAAAAGACAACAGTACCGACTACTAATGACAGCGCTCACAGCCCACACAGCACAGTCGTCTCAAGTTAGAGCTTCCCTGGGCATCAGTCACGCTTCATTTCCAAGTACCTGGCTACCTTGAAAGGAATGGTAGGTGCAGGAAGGGGCTGGGCTGGACCGAAGATGCTCTCGTCAGTATTTGAGACAGTGCAAATCTTAGGCAGCTCATGAATGCTGTCCGGTAGCCACTGGCCATCTGTGGCTAGTAAAGCCTTTGAAATGTGGCTAGACTGAATTTCAACGTCTCAGACGTGCACAGCATACAGGGGCTTGGGAAAAAGCCCAGTGGAGAAAAGGACGTGAAATATCTTACTGATGGCTCTTTCATACCGATGTTGAGATGATGTTTTGCATATGTATTTAAATATTTCACTGAGTTTAAGTACAGCTAGTTCTCGTTTAATGCGGCTACTAGGACATTTTAAATTACATGTGTGGTTGTGATATACGTCCACTACACAACGCTGGGATGGTCTTTATTAGTAGACGGTGGGGTGCTGGAATTCTGTGTTCCCTGCCTTATTCATATCATCAGGGAAGTGATTGGCCTGAATTGACTCTTTGGTTGAAGGTGTTGCCAAGGGAAATTATGAATCACTTTGAAACAGATAAAAGGAAAGTTACCGAGTGTCCTGGCCAATGCGTTATTGGAGTTATCGCCACCTTTTGTTGTTTTTCAGCTCTTTTATAGTTCTGCAACTGATAATGAGGAAAATCAGTCTTATCTGTTGGAATGTATAATTGTTGTGTCTGGTGCAATATAATTGATTACTGCCCTGTGGACAGAGTCTTTCAAACTTCTTTATAAATTCATTTCAGTATTCATTTTACCCATGTAGATGTGGTTTACTGAATTCTTCTGTGATGTGATGTTAACACTTTACTTGTCCCTCATGAATTAATGAGTTAAATAAAAATCTTTGATATGAGTTCATTTTAATCATTGTACACGAGTCACAATTTTGTCTTTTTGAAAATTATTTGAGAGAGAGAGAAAGAGAGAGAGAGATCCCATCTGCTTGTTCACTCCCCAGATACCTGTAACAACTGGATATGGGCCAGGCTGAAGCTAAGAACTGAGACTTCAATCCAGGTCTCCTACAAGGTGCAGGGACCCAACCACTCGAGCCGTCACCAGTACCTCCTAGGATGTGTGTTAGTAGGAAGCCGGAATGGAGAGCAAGGGTGGGATCTGAATCCAGGCACTCTGATATTGGATGTGGGCGTCTTAACCACTAGACAAAATGCCCTCCTTGATTTTTGCCTTTAAAAAAATAACACTAGAGAATTGAGGAGTTCTTGGACTTGACGGAAGCTGAGCCGGCCTCTTATCCTTCCTCCCAACCCCAGCTGCTCCTCTGACGGCAGTGACCGGGCTGTTTCTGGCCCAGAGATGAAACGCAGAGTGCATTTTTCTATATTTTATCTGATGGCTGATTGCTGCTTAAACACTACTCAGATAGGAAGCAAGTGAAATTATGGGTGATTTTGAATTTTTCAGCCTGTTAGCGTCCCAACCACCCGGAGGAATATCTGACCCTAAGAGCAAATGCACTGAGCTCCATGATAACGAAAGAGAAACTTAGCACGCGAAGGGACTTCCAAAAATTTGTGGAAAACGGAATTAGAAGATAGATTTATTTTGAGGCCAAAGAAATAGAAATCCATGAAACTCAGGGGTTCTCAAAACGTTTATGGAAAATATATTATGGAAAAAATTATGCATGGACTTAAATTTTTTGTTCCCAAATAGATTTTGCATTTTAGCTCGTTTTCCATGATTTTTCTGAAGTCCCCTCGTAGGACTTATTTGTAAGGTGTACACTGTGGATGTTCAACGAAGTACCCACAATTTAAATATAACACATATTTAAAAGAAAGTGAGTAGTTACAGCTTTTTGGTTTTTTTTTTCTTTTCTTTTGTTCTGTTCTATAAACACTGAAAAACCTTGACTTTCAAAACAAGATAAGGCAAGATGGGATGAGCACACAGGATTTATTTTACATTTTCATTTATTCCTGCAAATATAATTAATTTCAACAAACATGAGCCAATAAAAACATAGAGTTGGTAATGTCACATACTTTCCTTTTTTGAAGTTTGGAAATAATACACTTAGGATTGCTATATGTTTTGTTTCTTTTCCATATTCTTTTTTAAGAAGTTAGTTCTTTCTTTTTTCTTTTTCTTTCTCTCTTTTTTTTAGTAGTGAGATCATTAAATTTTGTGAGTATCGGCCTCCGGCGTGTAGGCTTACAGAACACGAGAAAGCTTCCCGATGGTTCACAAGCAAAGATGTATGATTTTTAATACATCTGTAATTTTGAAAATGAAACACTCACTCTACAAATGCAGAAGAGGGTACTTATAAATTATACATTTTATGGGCTTTTTTTATAGAGAGAGGAGCCATCCGAAGTCTCCATTTCAAATATATTTGTACAATGTTTTCACCCCTATAATCTACCTGTATCTAGTTATTTTCTTTCTTATTTCTTTGGGAAATAACTTGAGGAGACTTTGTAGCATAAGTAAGCACCTTGGCTCCCATATTTTTAGTATTCCAATTTACCTGGTGATATCATCAAGGAAACAAAAATATATTTTCATATAAAATGTCAAAAACATCTATAGCCAAGTCAAACTTCAAAAATTAATTTCAAACAACTGAAATGATAAAAAAGTTGAACTTGCCTATGGATGATTATTTTATATTGAATGCTTTTAAAATTATTAACACAGTGTATTTGTATAATTATTTCAGAATAACAATATTATCTTTTAAAAAGTTGTTTAAGCAAAAACCTCTGGTAAAAGATCTCTGTATTTTTAATGTATTGTATAAAAGAGTTTTGCTGTCTCTCAGTGAAATGGTGTATAAACAGTGCTTATTAAATCTCCCATCATTATCAAAAAATATATGCTACTGTATTAAAAAAAATAAAATCAAGGTTTCATTTGCGTGGAAAATGTATTTCTTATGGAAGCGCTTCAGTCCTGATCCATTTTCCACAAAAAAGAATGACCGCGTTCCTCACCCTTTCTTTCTTTAAGATTTCTTTGACTGGGGTTTTTCTCTGAGTTGACCTATTTGTTTTTGCTCTCAGAGTTCGCTGCCATGAGGACTGATAATTAAATAAGCAGATAGATAAAAAAATGAAGAACCCTGGAATTCAAAGATTGAGGAGATTTTTTTTTTCTAGAAACTACTTTTACTCTTTATTAACCTGACAGTATTTAACGATGGATAAGGAGGCGATGGTCTGTCCTCTGTGCGCTGGCGACTGAAAAGGTTTGGAAACAGAAAGTCGCTGTGGGTCACCACTGTCAGCCAGCGATGCTGCGCGTGGCGGGAGTGGCTGCGCGGTCCCCCGGGGCTCCGGGTGCGGGTGGGTGCGTGCGTGGGTGCGTTCTGGGCGCTGTGCGGGGCGCTGTACGGGGAAGGGGGCTCTGCAGGGGCTCAGAGTCGTCCTTGGCCTCCCCCAAAAACGTCCCAACTGCCTCGCCAGCAGCACGGGGACTGTCTACAACAGCGAGAGGAAAATAAGTGGTTTTATCTATAAAAGCATTTGGCCCATCAGGGTGGCCAACGCCATTCAAGGGCCACACTCTGCAGAGAGAGCCGTGGCGGCCGGGGTGGACTTGAGAAGGCCCGGGGCTGCAGCGACCGCCGACTCAGGCCCGGGTCTTGGGAACTTCCTGCCATCTTGCACCTGCCTGCTCCCTGAGTCAGCCCAGCGGACCCCGCCATGCGCCCCGGCTCGGAGTGGAGGTCCTCTGGCCCCTGACCACCATCCTAGGGTCAATCCATTGTTACAGGAAACGCGCGTGCTCTCGATAGGTGGTTTTATCCATTTGCAATCTTAGGAGCCCGGTATTCCGAACCATTCCCTGCGCGAGACACTGCTGGATCATCGCAGCCACCCGTGGAGGAGATGGTATTACTGAAGCCAGCGTTTGCGCACACGGTTCGTCCACACCCAACTCCATTTGCTCATCCTCCAGAGCGTTCCCTGGACCCTAAAACAAAGGCATAGCTCTGCAGGCCTGCAGAAGTTGAAGGAAATTGCAAAGCGACCCCTGAGTAGGAACATCCTGCCAGGAGAATGTGTGTGACCTCCCGTGGAGGGAGCTTGGGAGAGGCAGGGGACCGCGCGCGATTTTGAGTTCTTTTCACAGAGATGTCTCTCCGAGCAGGAAGCGTAGAGCAGTCGGCCCAGGAAGAGGGCGTTTTGCATGCATAGCTGGAAAGAGAGCATTGCAGGCCAGGAAGTCATTCAAGCTGCCTCACGTCTCATCTTGCTAGTTCCAGATTTTTCTTTCTCCACATCTCACACGAATGACAACCTCCGGACAAGAGACAGACCTTTTCCAGATGTTTTGGTGAATTTACTGTTTTTGGGTTTTGTTGTTGTTGTTCTTGTAGATAATGACTAACTTCCGTCTCTGACTTTCCAAGTTAAAAAGCATGTAACTCATTTAATTTTTACAATAATCCTTTAAAGTTGTTGTTATTATTATTATTATTATCATGCTGATTTTTGCAAATAAGAAAAATGAAGTTCAGACTCTTGTTAGTCAGCAGTGCCATACGCAGTGGAGCAGGAATTTTTAAATACAAATCATCAAATTCCAGGTTGCTCCCTTCCTTTCAGAATAAGAAAGACATCTTATAATAAACCATGTATGCTGTTGGGCATAAAAAATTTAGAAAAATGTAACATGCCATTTTGTGTATTCTTAAACATCTTTGCTTGAACGATCCCAAGTAGCCTGTGTTTATGGGTTTATACATTATTCACACCATTTTGAAATATTTAGGAAAGGAGAGAATAGAGCCCTTTGCCATGAACATAAACTAACACCGTCAGGCTAGGGTTTGGTGCCAACCACAGCATCCTGGCCGCTCCCTACGCTGCTGCTGGCATCCAGGGAAGCTGGCGACTAAGAAGAGGCTCAGGCACCGGGCGGGGTGTGTCCGGAACCAGTGCTTCCCCTCCGGGTGTGCCGTGGGCCCTTCCTGTTCTCACCTCTTCCATACCCCATTCAGTAGCCTCAGAAATGGACACGAATGCAGCCCAGGCAGTCCGATGACACAGACGTGGGCATTTCCAATTCACAAGTGAGAGCCAGGAGAAGGCGCTGGGATCTTCCCCGGATGCCATGTGTTGGCTTTTTTTTTGGAGGTACATTTTAGCTGAATTCAAAGATAAGAAATCAGAAAAAAAGACTTTTCTACCACTTGTTTTTTTTCCCTCAAGCACCAGGCTCCCTTCCAACATTAGAATGGTTTTTCACTCACAACAGATGGGTCTGTAAGTGCAAAGAGACTTTGTCATTTGTCCAGTGGCACGTGGACTTCTACCAAGGCACGCATAGTCGTGCAGGAACACACGACACAAACGCACCACCTTCCCCTGAGCCTTGATGTTCAAGCCTCCAGCAAGATCAGTGTGTGGAGTTTTATGGAGAGTGGCCGAAACAACAGGCTGGCATTTGGGCAAAGGTAGTCATTACGTGATTTCAATTTTGTGCCATCTGTCCCCAGATGTCTTTTACCACCAGGACAGGATGGCCATTGGCGTTGGAGGACCATCAACATGCCAGGGCTCTGGAGGGCTACGCCTGGAGTTCCAAGGAGCAGGCGTCCCTGTGAGCTCCCTGGCAGGTTCTTGCCACGCAGAGTCTGCTGGCTCCCAGCAAGAGACGGTGTTGAAGATCCTCATGAAAGCGTGTATAGGCTGCGTGTCTGAGAGCCTGGTCAAGAGGTGTCAGCTGTCCCACGGGCAAGGGACGACACGGGCAACTGAGGAAAAGATGTGATGACATTCTCTCCACAGGAACACCCTAAATTCCTGGGAGACGGAACATGCATCCGCCTCACTGGTGACAGAACCGGTACCCCCCACACCCTTTCTCCAAACCAAATGTCACCTTCCTCTCAAGAACCCACACCATAAAGCAAAGACCGGGGGAAAGGCTTCTTTGGTTTTTTTCCAGGGAGAAGTTTCTTTTCTTTTTACCCGGCGGCTTACTTTTCTGCAATGCTTATTTTCTTTGCTCTCAGGCAATGTGGATTAATTGTAGCCAGGAGCTTCTTCCAGGTCTCCCACGTGGGTGCAGGGGCCCAGGCATGTGGTCCATCTTACGCTGCCATCCCAGGCACATTAGCAGAGAGCTGGAGCAGAAGTGGAGCAGCCGGGACATGAACGGGCCCCCATATGGGATGCCGGTGCTGCAGACGGAGGCTTAACCTACTACGCCAGTGCGGCAGCCCCCTGTTTTAACTTTCAATGTGGGTTTTGAAAGTGTACATTTTTAAAGTTGGCAGAGAAACAGAAAACTGAAGCTGGGAAAATGCCTCAGACGGGAATCATGACGTCCACTTCTTTCGTTTCTCAAGGAGGAAATGGAGGCCGGGAGAGTTGAGTGACCCTCCCACAGCCACGGCCACAGGCAAGGTCAGGGCCAGGCTGGGAAGAGAACCCCTGGATTCACCAACACATCTCATGAGCCACCTGGCCTCGCGTACGCCTGCTCTCTCTCCATCGTGGTTTCTGGTGACGCGGGTTTCTCCCGGCTCCAGGTGGGTGATTTGGGGCGACGCGGCCGGGCATGTTCCAATAGAGCTGCCTCCCTGACAGGTACAGCCCTCACCCCTCGATGACAGCCCGGCCGGGCCTCTCCTATCAGTCGCTGAAGCCTTAGAAGGCATGAAAATAAACACAGCCTGACAACTCTGTTCCCAGTGTTATGACCTGCTCACCTCCCCTGCCACTTCCAACTTGCCTTCTCCCTGAGTAGCCTCCATGTTATTTGAGTCAGCAGGACTCCCAGAAAGCAGGCAGCGTGTACCGAGGCTGCCAGAAGGAATATTTGCACGCCAGGCGCGTGTGGGTCTCGGCTCTTTAAACTCTGGCTCTGACTGGTGTGGAAGGGGCTCCGGCTGCCCCTCTCATCTCTCTCTGTTGTGAAAGTTCCTTCCCGCTCTTCCCTTTCTATTCTTAACCACTTCATGCCCTGGAAACACGGAGTTCTCACTCTGATAAATATTATTTCTGAAAGCTCTCAACAGTCTACTTTATTCTGGAATGTTCCAATAGACAGTTCTAACAAGAGCGCGGGTAACATCTTAAAAAAAAAAAAAGTAAACCCAACTTAAAATTTAATATGAGTGACAATAGTAATCCTACCTCAAATTCATTTAAAAATATTCGTTTGCACACAAAAGTTCAGAGCAGAATTTTCTATGACAACTGCAAAGCAGAAGCAATCCAGACAAATGTCTAAGTGGACAGTTGTGTGTATCTGTGTGATGGAATATGACTGGGCTATGAAAAAAAAGTATTGATACAGGCAGAAATAGGAAACAGGGATGAATCTCAAAAAGTTAATGCTTAAGTGAAAAAAAGTCAGAGAAAAAAGATGACATATTGTATGATTCCATGTTTATGAGCTATCCAGAAATGACGTATCTGTTGAGACAGGAAGTAGGTGAGTGATGACCTAGGGCTGGAGTTGGGGATGACGTGTGACTTCCAGTGGGCATGCGGTTGCCTTTGTGAGTGATGGAATTGTTCTGAAATTAGATAACAGTGATAGCTGCATAACTCAAGGTTTACTAAAAAAATCACTACTTCAAAAGAGCAAATTTTGTACTATGTCACTTATACCTCTATAGAACTGTGCAAATGAGCAACCACACCATAACTACCCAGCTCATATCACAGGGAGGGGAGCATCTTTGGAGGGAGCATTGTCCGTGGTGCCTGGGCCATCAGACTGAGCCTTCCAGTCTCTCTCACTCTGTTCCTCACGGAGGGGGAGCGACCCGCACGTCAGGGCCAGAGCCCTTGACATCATGCAACAATTTATAAAGTAGACTGGCTGCTTTGGCAAGGTGAAGGCTGACAAAGCCTTGGTTCAGGGACAAATGCATTCAATGTGAAAAGCCCATGGCAGTGGCAACAATTTGGATCTGCAATTACGACACTTAAAGTGTTTAGGGCTGACAAGGAGTTAAAGTAAATGTTGACTCAACTGTGAAGCCTTCAAAGGTTGCAGCCTTGCAAGGGGCCTTGCACAACCATGGGATTGTATTTATTTATGCATTATTATTGTTGTTCAAATATTCTTCTTTTTCCTCCCCTGGACTTTTCCAACCAGCAGTGGGACCCTTAGCAGGGGAGACTGAAAACAGATCTGAATAATGCATTTGAGATAATTTCAAAAAAATCACCCTTTAACGAGTACCATATTCCCCCTCCCCAATTTTCCTTACGTAGATTCACCATTTTGCAAATACTGATGTATAAAGAATGCACTGAATGTGGCAAAAGTTGAAGATAGCCCCTGTGGATAAGACCTAATGGACACCATCCTGAAATAATACGTATGGCTCAACCCCCAGACATGTGTCTTCAATTTAAAATAATTCAGCAATCATGTTCAACCAGAACCTGATTACACAAAATGGGACTTCTTAACTCCCAGACTTGGATCAAATTTTGAAGCCACAGGAAAAAAAAAAAGCGGGGGGAGATAATATGTGCCATGTTTATATATTCCAGATACCGTGATTAAATGATCCACACACACATTTCACTTTTGCTTTGAGCTTATCAAGGCACCTAGTACCGTTTCCCACCAGTCAGTCCTGGCCTCGGCTTTACGAGAACTTGCATGAAAGTTCTGGCTGAGAGGCAGAGGGAAGAAAGTGGAGAGCAAGCTGGGCCTCTGCTTGTTATTGTGGTTTCCAGAGTGTCCACGCTACGGCCTCAATGTCTACTCTCCCACAGGCTCAGGAGGAAGGGCATGGAAGAGATACAGCTCTCTCTGGGATGACTCAGCATGGGGGCCCTGCACCTCGTGTCCACTGCCCTCTGGGGAGATGCCCCTGCCCTCTGGATCTTTAGCTTTGTTGCTGGCATTTGTCTTCCTCTCTATAGCTGCACCGATGTCCTTTCTTGAGGCAGGGAGACCCTCTGCCTGCACTGCGATGTTCTGAGATGCTAAGCCCTCCCCTCCCATCCCTCTCTTGGATAGACTGCCCAGAACTTGAACTGCTTCCATCACTGGGTACTTATTTCTTCAAATCCCTTTGATCAGAAGAAGTAGTGGGTATCAAGTGTTTGGTGAACCCTAAGCAACAGTCCCCAGGGGGAAGATTGCCGGATAGAATACAAATGTCCTGTTCCGTCAGGATTCCAGAGAGCCCACAGACATGTCCACATCTCTGTATCCAGAAAATGTTAGCAAAGTTTGGTCCTCAAGACTGGATGGTGGAAAAATTAGGCAACAGCAACCTGGGGTACTAGAAATAAAGCTTTTTGTTTATATGCTTTGTTTTTAAGTGAATAGAACTATTTAGAATGGGTGATCTTTTAAAAAAGATTTTTTTTAATTTATTTGAAAGGCAGCGTTACAGAGAGAGAAGTGTAGAGGTAGAGAGATCTTCCATCCTCTGGTTCACTCTCCAGATGGCCGCAAGGTCCAGGACTGGTCCAGGAGCCAGGAGTTCCTTCCAGGTCTTCCACATGGGTGGCAGGAGCCTGAGCAGTTGGGCCATCTTCTGCTTTCCCAGGCACATTAGCTGGGAGCTAGATCAGAAGTGGAGCAGCCAGGACATGAAGCAGCCCCCATATGGAATGCCAGCGTTGCAGGTGGCAGCTTTCCCCGCTGGTCCCAGGTGATGTTTTCCTATGTGGGTAATGCTTTTGCCTTTCCTTACAGGTCTTGTGGGTCGTGGGTGAGTCAGGGCCATTTCTGGTCCTAGATGAAGGGAGAGTTCCTGCCGGTTTGGATTCAGATCCTTAGGTCTGAGTCTGCTGTGGGAGTGGTTAAGTGGCCAGGAAGCTCCCATGAGGGCAAACTGGGGGAGTGGGCATCCACCAACTGATTTGTCCCAAGAAATCTATTACTAAAAATAAACTAGTCAGTTTGCAAAGGACTGACTCTTCCCTCCCATTCCTTACAGCACATTCATGCTCATCTCTTCAATGAGGTTGACTGGTCACCTGGAAACCAGGAGAAGAGGAAGTAGCTTGAAGCTCAAGGCTCTGAAAATTCCAGGTACATTGACCATTCCCATAACAATCTGTCATTCGTGGGAATATCAACTATTACACGTACTGGGGAAAAAAATCAGATTCAGATTCGTTGCTGTCAGATACTTCCAGGACAGGAGACCCCGGGGAACCAAAGACAGCGGTGGGAGGGAGCTTGGAACCGGCTGTCAAGTGGTCCAAGTGTGCAGACCTTGCTGTGCCCCAGGGCACAGCAGCTGGCCTTCAGAGCAGCCGTGGGAAGGCTGTGTGAAGCCCCTCTCCTGCCTTCTACTCGCAGCCTTCTCCCGGGCAGTCATTTCCAAGGCTAGGGGAGAGTGGCCTTTGTTCTAATATATATTTAAAGATAGTTTTTACATTAAAGGTAGATGCTGCGAAACAACACGGAGCTCAGGCAGATATCCATGGATCCTGATTCTGGACTTAGAAAAGCAGACTTGGTCTACAGGTATACCTGCTTTCTAATTCTAAGTCCCTTGAAGACTCTATCTCCTAATAGCACCAAACAGTGCTATTGGATCCATCGCAAGGACTCAATAAATGTTTGGTTGAAAACAGGGAAACAATGACTTTCTTTTGCTTAATAAAAATATTTTTAACCAGTTTCTATCGACACATTATAGATATATCCCAAGGAAGAGTCTCCTCAACAATGATCAGAAATCAGTTTCCCAATGAGATTTTTGTAGGAAGCTCTCTCTCACACACCACACATACGCACACATGCACACTCCATATCAGTTAAAGAATGTCATTTGTGGTGAGGATGACCACAGACAATCCACCCAGTTAGGATGTGTTTCTCGGGCAATGAAACACGCAGATCTTCCTCACGCTAGCATAGAAGCTCAAAGACTTTTCTTGCTCCAAATGTTGGTAACGCATGAAAAGCCTGCTGATTTTCAGTTTTATCTCCTCTTCCGTGTGCAGTCCCTCTCTTGGTGGCAGCAGAGGTGTCATTGGAAATGTAGCTTTTTTTTTTTTTTTCATTAAATCTAAGAGGACTTTGACTGCAAGACACAGAGTCGTTTTACATGCCACTAGGAAAGAAACAAAACATCGCCATGGAAATATTCCAAATTCAGAGGCATTAAAAGGCAGAAACACGAGTGTTTTAAGATCTATGAAACACAGCTAATTCTCCCTAATGCTGGGCCCTGGGCTTTGCACACCATATATTTTTTGCTGAATGAGTGAGTGCATAAAGATGACAAGCAAGACTCCCTGGTTCCACGGCGAGAGTCAGACCCTGGGAACAGTGGGCCAGATCTCTTCTTGAGGTTGTGGGTCTCCACTAAGCGAAAGGGCAGGGGCTGCTCTCCATTGCTCCAAAGCAAACCAAACACAAACAAACAAAGCAGTAGTTTCCAGTACGGCATCCTGCCAACACACCCCCAAGAGAAGCCAAGCCTGGGGTACTGTTCAGGGAGGAATCGTGAGTTTCTCTGAGCCAACGGGGACGTTTCTCTAGACAAAGAAGCAATAGTTCTGTGCAAGAGTCACGCTGGAGTGTGTGAGTGTGAGTAGGTTAAGGAAGGTGGAATACAGAACAGGGAGTAAAGCAGTCTTTAACACGAAGCTTCCTGAGTTCAACACATGCATCACTCACCATCAGAACACAGCACACTCTTGCCACTCTGTACCCACAGATCTCAGAATCGCAGCTCGCAAGTCTGTCTCGCCTCTCAGTGATAAATATAGGCAATATTAACGTCATCGTCTAAGCCCCCAAAAATATAGCTGACTCTGTTCCACAGAGCTGGGCAGACCACAGCAGGTAAATCAACCTGCAGATTGGAACTCCGTGTGCATGTCACCTTCACAGCAATGGCAAGGCCCAGGGGCCCAGAGTGACAGAGCTGGAATATTGATGCCACCTCGCAGCCTGTCCTGCCCGAGCTTGCTTCCTTTCGCCATCAACACTCACGAGGGGACTCTGACACTGAGCTCCTTGCAAAATGGCTTCAGCCTCTGTTTTCAGAGGTGGTGTAAGAGAATCCAGGAGTCCTTCCAGCTAAGAGGAGAATTGTAGTTTGGGAACACTGACGTCTTTTGAAATATTCTTTTATATTCTTTGCTCATTTCTATTTACTATTTATTTATTTTATTTGAAACAGGGAGAGTCAGAGAGAAAGAGACAAGGACAGAGCTAGAGACAGAGATCTCCCACCTGCTGGTTCACTCTCCAAATGCCCACAACAGCTTGGGTTGGGTGTGTCCAAAGCCAAGAGCTGGAGTCTCAAGTTCTTGGGCCATCATCTGCTGCCTCCTAGGGTGTACACTAGCAGGCAGCTGGAATCAGGAGTGGAGCTGGGACAGGACTTCAGGTACTATGATTTGGGATGCAGGCATCCCAAGTGGTATCTTAATTACTGTGCCAAATGCCTGCCCCTCTTAGTACTTTCCAGTGCTGGCTGTGCTAGGAGGGCACTGCCATCAACCCACTGCTCCATCCAATCAGACAAAGAATCTGCACAGCTGAGCCGCTGGCAGCGGGGAGGGGAGGCAGTAGCAGGTGGAAGCAAGCAGCTGCAGTTGTTGGTCGCCCAGCTGATGGCTGCAGACGTGGGAACCACGGGAGAAGCCTCTCGGTGGCTTCTCTCAGTGTCTCAGCCTGAGACGCTCAGATGCAGAGCAGGACCTCCAGCAGCACCACGAATGATGGCTACTGCCGAGCCCCGGGGAAGTAGGGCAGCACTGCTGAGTGGAGAGGCATGAGACGTATCCGGGTGGGCATGGGTTCATCTCCACGGGTCTCCCCCACAGGTTAAGCTCCAGGCGCGCCTGTGTCCTGAATGCACTCCCTGCCACCACAAGCACTGGGTCCCCCAGAGGGAACAGCCCAGACCCAGGAAGCGGAGCGCGAAGATGTCCTGAGCTGTGATTGGCCAGGCGCGCCTACCTCCCTGGGCCCCCTGCAGCAGGCTGCGCGTTTCCTTCCTGGCCTCTCTCCATGCAGCCTTCCTCTTCTGCAGCCCTTGTTCGCCACTTATTTGCAAGAGAAGCATCTGGGCCGGCGCCGCGGCTCACTAGGCTAATCCTCTGCCTTGCGGCGCCAGCACACCGGGTTCTAGTCCCGGTCGGAGTGCCGGATTCTGTCCCGGTTGCCCCTCTTCCAGGCCAGCTCTCTGCTGTGGCCAGGGAGGGCAGTGGAGGATGGCCCAGGTCCTTGGGCCCTGCACCCCATGGGAGACCAGGAAAAGCACCTGGCTCCTGGCTTCTGCCATCGGATCAGCGCGGTGCGCCAGCCGCAGCACGCCAGCCGTGGCGGCCATTGGAGGGTGAACCAACGGCAAAGGAAGACCTTTCTCTCTGTCTCTCTCTCTCACTGTCCACTCTGCCTGTCAAAAAATAAATAAATAAATAAAATTAAAAATTAAAAAAAAAGAGAGGAGCATCTGAAGAAGTCTAGTTGAATACCCATCACCCAGTCGCAGGAGCGATCCTATCAAGGTGTGGATGTTTCCCGTGCTTGGATAAAGTGTTTCGTAGCAAGAGAAAGATAAAGAATGAAGACTGGGATGAGACGTGGGTTACAAAGGAAATGAGGGAAAATGAGCGACAGGAGCAATAAGGTGACAGGAAGAGAACGCAGCAGCATCAACTATACTGCACTGGAGCTCACTGGGGAACCAAGAGGGGCTCCCGCATAAGGCCACGGTCACGCAGATTAAACATCTGCATTTGACCTCCTGTGGTTACTTTTCAGGTGTTCCGCGTAACAGCCAGTGCTGCTAATATGAGGGCTACCTGGGGACTGGTAGCTGGCGCCGGCTTTGTGACCTTCCCTCTTGCTGTGATCCACTAAGGAGGCAGGTTCCCGTCTTGACCACAAGGGTGTCGGTTGCACCCTCGTCCGTCACCTGGATGCTTGCTATATGGTGATGAGGAATGGCATCAGAGACTGGGATAGGACACACCCCAACCAGGGAGGGAAGTAGGTTGCTGACTTAACTCATTCCCCTATCAACCCTCGCTTAAGGCCCTTACTTTATTCCTGGAACTCGACAAGGCACAGGGAATTCAAAGAAGAGGAAAGATCAGCTCTGCAAGGAATTTCTCATTTTGGAAAGAGAGTATGTGAGCTGGGCAGTGCCAGGCTGTGTGATCAGGAGCAGGGACCTTAGCACGAGGCAGAGATGGGGGAAGGAACCGCGCTGCTTGGCAGAATGAGGGTAGGGTTCCTTTATTTACTCGGCAGCATTTGTTGTTCACCGATGAAGTCCCGCAGCTGATTCAAGGTGCTGAGAATAAGCCGCGTGGGGCCTTTTGCTGACATCCTAGACGAGGGAGAAAGGTACAAGAAACAGGGTGGTTGATGTGTGTCTTCTTCTTGGCACTTCAGCTTGGAAAAGGGAAAGTTCAAGGATCAGAAAGCTTGAGATGGCCTTGCACAGGTGAGAGAGTAAGCATCTGGGTCGGCTGAAGCCCAACACTCAGGAGTTTCCATGGCAAGATACAGAGCCCAAATCAAAGCAGTATAAGCAAAGGAAACGCACATCTCATGATGTTTAGCAACCAAGAGTGTGGTGGCTTCAGGCACAGCTTGACCCAGGAGTTGAGGCGATCGGGTATCCAAAAGACCCCATGTGTCTCACCTCTGGGATCTTGCTCGTGGCGTCCCCAGCTCACGTGATGGCTGGCAACACCTCTCAGCTCCTTCCCTCTGGGTCCTCTCCTGGAAAACACAGGGTTTTGCTTTCTCTCTCAATAATAAAGCAAAAGTTTTTATCCAGCTTATGGCTCTAATGGGATTGCATGCCCAGCTCTTAACAGGATATGGCCTGGGAACAGGATATGGCCAATCCGGAGTTGTGTGCCTTCTTCTGGAGCCGAGAGCATCTCCCCAGAAGAATATCAGCACCATGCCCAAAGGAGAAGGAAGCAGCCGAAGAGACTCCCCAGTACGCCAAGACCGATTTACCATTCACTGGTGATGAGGCTGTGTGGGCAAGGCTAAAAAGGAACAGTGCTGCCCAGGCCTGGTTTGAGGCTGCTAAGACCGACCGCATGCACACCAGGCTGAAGTGCTATAGGGATTCCCTCTAACAACCAAGGAGAGCGTGCGCATGGGATCCAGCCTCCGGCAGTGTGTCAGACTCCCCCCCCGCCAAGCGAATGTACTCTGGTATAGACAAAGGCAATGTGGCTGCGCACGCTTCACTTGATAGAACCTGCAGGCCTGGGTTATAGGAAGCCGGGGACTGCCAGGAGGTCACTATCATGTTAGAGTTAGGGTTAAGGTAAGGGTTAGGGTAAGGGTTAGGGTAAGGGTTAGGGTTAGGGAGCACTCCCTGAGCCTGGAACAGGGAAAGACCATTCTCGTGCAATGCAACCAGCCCAGCACAGGCTGTGTGTGGCTCCCACCTCTTGGGAAGGCCCAGGACACAGTCCTGTGTGGGTGAGCAAGGGCTGGGAGACTGCTCACAACGACTGTTGGGAAAGAAGCAGAAGTAAAGTTGAGAAAGTCAGGAGGGTGCAAGATCATTAAAGACTTCGAGTTGCAAAACATGGAGCTTGGGCATTGCCCTGTGAGAGTGGGCAGCTCTATGAGGCTGT